CACACACACACACACACACACACACACACACACACACACACACACACACACACACACACACACAAACTCTCTCACACACACTCATACATTTGATCCGAGTCAATCAACATGCTGGGCAGGGGAAGCAGCACACTGGATACAAACAGTAAATTTAGACACAATTTAGCACAAAATGACTGGAGATTTCAGTCAATCCTGTTTGATTTCAAGTCAGTGAGCATCTGATAGTGTCGTTTTCTGTGGCTTGCTTTGTGATGCTACCACATAGGTGCCACTGAAGGCAAATAGAATATGCGATGATATAACCATAAAACTGGATGTTCAAACTGCCATTTTGTGAATCCAGCAAATCTCTTGAGATTTGAGTTCAGTGAGCATCTTAAAAGGATTATCTGGACAAATGTGTCTTGCTTATTTGTAAATGTTTGCTTGGGTGTTCGGAAAGTCGTTTTTAACGTTTACCTTCAAGTTTTACATCATCATAGGCACAGTCCATTAACACGTCATCAAAGACTGCGTCATTCTAATTTTTACATTGTGATGAATGTTAGGAATGTTTACGTGTACCTGCGCCATCATGAATATTATGACACGAACAAGCATTCCCGCAGCTTTCCCACACAGCCAGCTCAGACAAAGTATCCTGCTGGATCCGCTACAGTATTTTCCGAGACTTGAATTGCAAACCTTTTGAAATCAACACGGTCATAAATTGTGCAGCTAATGCACAGGAAAACTCCTGCCTGGCCAGCAGCTATTGCTCACCACTAACCACACAGAGAAAGGACCAGTATCTTTGCAAGCAAACATGACTCACTCACTTGCACTCTGCTGAGAGAATAGTGCAGAATTTTCCAACTCAACATTTTTAAAGCCATCCGCAGCCCTTATTGGGAGTATTGATGCAAATAGTGTGTGGTTTTTAAGCATATGAAGATAGACGAGGTCCAAAAACTGGACAAATAAACTCTTGCAGGGCTGAAACCTGCATTGCTTCCCATGGCCAGCAGGGGGAGACTTGCAAAAAAGTGTGGTGTGCAGTTGACAAAGATGAGCAACATCCCCTGATCTGAACCCCCCCACCAAAAGAACAAATGTTAACACTGAAATGATTAAGAGTTTGGTAACAGATTATTTTCCCAAAAAGATTCAAATGTATGAAAAAATGCAAGATTGCTGTGATTTTGTTGATGCTTCAACAAAATGTGCTGCAAAGTCAAAAATAAGATATCCTTTATTTGTCCCACACTGGGGAAATTTACAAATGAAGAAGATACAAAGATAATATTGTTTTGATTTTTTTTTTCCTCTTTAAAAAAATGGTCACAGTGAGACTAAAATAAGCATTTATTGGAATAATAATTCCCCCACCCCCAAATCTCTATATTTGTGATTTTATTTCTTTTCTTTTAAATTAATATAGGATGGCCACTAATTAGCACGTCCGCTGGGATAGGCAGCAGCACACCCGCGACCCTTGTAAGGATATAGGGATCAGATAACGGACAGATGAGTTAAAAAAATATATAGCTTCTGAGTGTTAAAAAGGAGAAAGATGTTTTTTTGGGGTTGCGTATTCACTTCCAAAATTAAATCATACACAAGAAAAAAAGACAATGTTCTTGTAATATTTCACATCTTATTTCAAACACATTAACATTTTTGGCCTCAAATTAAGGACACTATTTTTTTAATGTGTGTTTTTATCTCTTATGACATGAAAAAATAATCAAAATAGTGCTGCTCAAAATAAACATATTTTTGGGGTATCGGATTAATTCCTCCAAATTAAGAAAATACAAAATGGGGTGGGGCAATTCATGGGGGAATTTGGTCACTGCATTCATTTGTAAAATTTACAAAAACACAAAAAAGAAAAGTAATGTTCCAAGATGTTTTGTGAACGTTGCTGCCGTCCTGTTAAAATACAGGCTGCAGTGTTGGAAGAAGAAAAACCTCCAGAAAGGAGGAGAAAGAGAAAAAAAAATCTCTGGTTTCGCAGAAAATTTAGCAACATTGGCTACAGAGACGAATTCTTTTGGTTTTCTTTCGGGAAATCTTCCCAAGTCATCGCAAGTCTCTGTCTGGTGTTGTTGCTGTTGAAGCAACAGTGAGCTGTGGCTTGGGCTGCGGCACCGTTTTGAAGCGGGCCTGTGTTTGGATTTGGGTTGGTGAAGAGGATGGACCAGCTTGGGTTGGATATGGTTGATTCCAGATTCCAGTTTTGATCCCCAATTTCCCCTCCATCCCATCCAAAGTATCCACAAGCAAGAAAACTGAACCCTCACTTGGTCCTGATGCTGCGTCATCACTGTGGAAATGAACTGTTTACGTTTTGCTTCCATGGCAACATGCACCACCATTATTAATCACCATAGAAAGGAAACTGGCACGGTGGTCGACTGATTAGCACGTCGGCCTCACAGTGCAAAGGTGCAGAGTTTGATTCTGGCTCCGGCCTTCCTGTGTGAAGTTTGCATATTCTCCCCGTGCCTGTGTGTATTTTCTCCGGGTACTCCGATTTCCTCCCACATTACAAAAAAAAAAAAAGACATGCATGGCAGGTTCATGGAACATTTTAAATTGTCCCTAGGTGTCTATGTGTCAATGTGTGCCCTGTGATTGGCTGGCAGCCAGTTCAGGGTGTCCCCCGCCGACTGCCCGAAGATAGCTGGGATAGGCTCCAGCATGCCTGACACTGATGAGGATAAGCGAATTATAATATGGATGAATGGAAAGGAAAATTTTTTAATGTTACTATAATTAAGTGGAAGACAATCTGATCGCTAGTCAAATTCCTTTGCGATATTTCTCATTGGAAATAATCAAAACTGAAACTGGTAATGGGTGGTTGTGCTCATAGCATTCAGACCTTGTCTAACACATACATTTAACCATTATTGAAGCCATTACTTGTGTCAATGACAGACATCTGACCACATCTTGGTCGCCGAAAAAGAGAATATTTAAAGGATGTGAACTATGCAGGCTGCTGTTTGAATGACATTGAAAGCTCGAGTTCACTTGAGGCTAATTGCAGTGTATATCCATCTTAGGCCTAAAACTGCTGCTGCAGAAAAGAGAAAGATAACCACAATGTGACCGCTGCATTTGTGATGGACCCGACACAATCTGTCTGCAAATTCTGCATGTCCTAAAAAAGGGCACTTCAAGTTTGCATGAAAAGCATTAAGAGGCCGTCGGATAGATACGGCATTTTTAGCCGGATTAAAAGTGGGCGTGTGGCAGTGTGACATTCCACAGACAGCGTTATCGCAAAGCTGCCAGTGTCCCTGCAATATAATTCTGTGTGATTCACTTGTGTTCTTATCAAAGTGACATTAACTACAGTTCTAACAATTATGTGGGTGATTCCAAGGTCGGTGACAAAGGCTCAATGGGAGGTTTTTGTTTCCGAATGAACATCCAAAATGCAGGACGGAGGCACACCTTGCATCTCAAAGGATATCTTAAAAAGTCTTTCAAAAGCATCCATCCATTTTCTGTTGTGCTTGTCCTTATTAGGGGTTTTAGGTGAGCTTGGGGCTATCCCAGCAACCTTCAATTCACTTTACTTCACAACAAGCAGCAGTTTGGCAGTTAGTGAACAATTCTTCAAAAAAGAGACTTCACATGTTTTTGCCACTCCCAGTTGGAGCTTATTGTCAAACTAAACATAAAACAAGGACAAGTACACGTTTGTATTTTTACGTCCACATTACTTTGCCTTAAAAGTCCACTAGCTTAATGCTAACACATAATGAGAAATGCCATCGAAGTGTCCAAAGCAGTAGGACGTAGACTTTCCCATCTCGCCAAAATTACAGTAAAAATATATTTAAAGGATGTACACATGAATATAATAAAATAGGACAATGTTTGGAAAAAATACAGAGAAAATAATCATAAAATAAAACAAATAAGAAAAAAATATGATATTACCACAATGATACATTGATTAATGTTAATGATTCATTATTAATTGTTTCTGAACCTTCATGGCACGGAAATTCGAATCTCAGCTTTATCTTTCTGCTGTCAACTTGTCCTTAGTAAATGAGAAAACGATTGGCTTACCTCGTTCAACAAAAAATACATAAATAAATGTGTAATTGATATTTCAGTTTTTTTTTTTTCAAATCCCTCACAGAAATCTGCTTTTCTTTTCTGCCTATGTTCACAGGGCAGCTTTTTTGTGCTCCTCTCACAATTGAGGAATCAAACCTGCGACATACTGACGCATGGGCGCTGTTCACGCATTCATGTCAGTTAGTCGGTCAAGCAACATTCTGGAGATGAGCTGAAGAAGGCGAGGTGGAAAACCACCTTAATTAGTCTCTGCATGTGAACTATGTTTGAGATGAGGCATATGTAGTAAACCTACGGCCCGTGGGCCACATACGGCCCACAGCAGGCTGTGCAAATCTAAGATGAAATAAAAAGTGACTATAAATGTCCAAAATAATAAACACACATTCTAATGTTTGCTTACTGTGTTGCTCTTCTAAACAATGCATTATTAGACACCACAGTTTGCTGCAGCTCCCCGTTTTCTGGCTGCTCGCAATCTCTTCTTAGATATAATATGTCTCCTAACTAAGAAGTAAATACAGCAGGCGCTCATTTCCTTCCATTGTTGTCTTCATTAGAATGTCTCTTTCCAACTTGTCCACTTGTTGATATGACAAAAATAAACAGACGTGAACATTGCTTACACTGTTGCACTGAACTGTGCCTCAAACTGTGCCTTGTTTTAAATGTTGGCTCAGGCCTTCCTGTTTTGAGTTTGCATGTTCTTCCTTTGCTTGTGAGGGTTTTCTCTGGGTACTCCGGCTTCCTCCCACTTTCCGAAATCATACATGTTCAGTTCTTGTGTAATGTGGCGATTCTGTGAGGTCCATCCAACACCATTCACTCACTGCTTCACCGGCTGAGAAGTCAAGTGCGTAGACAGTCAAGGTAAAACTTTGGGCTGCTAACTCAGTGGCAAGTACCATATTTGAAGGCTCCAAAGAGTGAGGTTTTACTTAAGTACAGTACATGCGTGCAGCACAAGCTGGGATTAGGCGTAGAAAAAAAAATAGTGTGTTTCCGGTAACCCAACCAACCGAGAATTTCTACGTGGAAAAAAAACTTTACGGTCGCATTTTTTTCAAACCACCCTCTACATTTTTGTGTCAAGGGTTTACATCGGTGCAAACTCTCGCGATATTCACGTTGAGCGCGAGCGTCGTTTGCCCTGTCGTCTGTCAACAACATCGAAACATGGCGGCGGGCGCGATCTCCGACGACAGTTTAAACCGCGTTTTCTGTGTTACAGTCGCATGCTCGCACCGTAATGTTAAGAAAATAGCATCCATTGGTGTATCGAAAAAATTCAGCGAACTATTTGATGAACACCACGGGCTGAGTAAAAACCGTGGAGGACGGCGGCAGCGGCGGCGGGGCACCCCCCCCCACCCCACGGC